ATATATATATATATATATATATATAAAAGAAGAAATAAAGGCATAAATTACAGACCGGTAAAGAGACAAACATCAGAAAACAGGATGATATTTAATCATGAACTGCAAACAGGAGACTTCGGATTCAAATCTTAGAACTATTATTTTAAAATCCCTCTCCCCACCCCTCCAACTAGTATTACAGATTACGTACATGATATACTCCTAAAGCCACACATACCTTTTTTTCTTGGACTTTCTTTCTACTTTAGTTTCTCCAACGCTGATAAACACGAGGGAAGAAAAAGGCGCCTGTTAATGGAGTGATTATACACAGCTCAGACAAACCCTTCTACTATCCCCAAAACTTCTACATCAACGGAACACTTTGTCTTTCATAACATGTACTCAGAGACCAGTGTATGTTATAACCACATGCAATGTTTCCTGTAGGTTGTGGTACATGCAGTCAACATAACTGACAGTTAAGCCAGATACTATCAACTGTATCTTTAAAGCCAGGTAAGTAAGTTAGTAGTTAAGATAACTGAATGCACCAATTTGATTCTTTTTTAGTTTTTAACTTAGGTTGATATGCCTAAATGAACCACTTACTGAACAACAGAATAAAGAAAATATTATGACAACAACACCTGTAACATTTCAGAGTCATATTATGAATGTCCATTTCATATTAAAAATAAAGCAGCCTTTAATTTAAAATAACCATTTCTTTTTCTGCATGTCCCCTACATGTTCAGTCATTTACTGTTTAGAAACTAGGCCCTTAACACTTCAAGACTGTGCTCCCTCACATTATTTATAAAGAAGGAAGTCTGGCAATTTCTGAATGAAATACACAAATAGTTTGCTACTCTATTTCTGCCAAACAACAAGCTCCCCTTGGAGGGGGAGCTCCCATGTACTACGACGCTTCATCAATTACAGACCCAACACTCCTCATCAGGAAGAAGCCTACTTTACTAACCCCCACAACCCCCCCAGGCAGGAGGAAGGAAATTTTTCACCAGCAACAGCCAGTGAGAAACTGCCACACGCAGCCAAAGAGAAATCTGAAGTTTTACTCTCCTGCAGTGGATTTTCATCTTAAACAGCCCCTCCCAGTTTTCTCCCGTTCTCTATAAAAGCAAGCCCTCTGCTTCATTCTTTGGACTTGCCCATGGTTTGCCACTGGCAGCTTGTCCTAAACTGCAATTCTTCTGCTATTCCTGAATAAACTCATTTTGCTGGTAAAATAACTGGCCATTTTGTTTTTAAGGTTGACTGCTCATATAACCTACCTCACAGTATTCTATTGTATTTCATTGGCAGCTAAGGCAATAAAGCAAAATGGTTAACAGCATGGATTCTGGAGACAGGCTGGATGGTTTAACACTTTTTTTCCACTTGCTAGCTGTGTGACAATGAGCCAGTTACTGAACCTCTCTATGCCTCAGTGTCTTCCTATGTAAAATGGGGATAATAATGGTACTTACCTCAGTGTCTTCCTATGTAAAATGGGGATAATGGTACTTACCTTAATGTTATAGATATAACAATTAAATAAGCTAATACTTATAAAGAGCTTAGTAAAATGTCTGGCAAATAGTAAGCACTCATTAAACACTGGCTAGTATTATGATCTAAATCTAGATAACCACGAGACATTAAGTCTCTTAATAAATTCCATAAATATAAATTAAAAATATTCCTTTGGCTACCACATGTAAACTTACCTTTGTTGTAATAATAACAACCTGTTTTCTTTTTCTTTTAAAGCTTTCTTTAGTTCTGCTGTTCTTGAAGGCCTATGTAGGTATTTTCTTTTTCCTGTGCATTCATAAGTCCAATGTCCGAATTCCAAGCATTTCTGACATCTTACATGTTGCTTATTTGCTTCACTGCAGAGCAAAAAATAGAACATGGGCCTTAAAATTTTGACTTGACATTTTCTGCCCTGAAAAACATAAACAATATGAAACATAAAATGATGTTAATTTTTAAGGTCCATCTCAAAAATAAACACCATTTTACACTTAAAATTGTTTATGTGAGATTTCATCACCAGGCAGTATAGTAAGTGGTTAAGAACATGGATTTGGAGTTAGATAAAAGTGAATTCCAATCTTCATCCCTCAATTCTCTTCCAGTAATGGCAACCTAACTAACTCAGACCAACTCTTCAGCTCAGAACTAGAAAAGGTGGCCAAAAAATTTTAACAATCTGCTTGAGGCATCAAAGAACATACAAGGGGGTAAACAATGACCAAGCTAAGATATGGAAAAAGGTGGGAATCCAGAGCGGTCATCCCCGCGTTTAGGCCGACTCTTGTGCTGGGGTGTCCGGCCAACTCAACAGGATAAGCCTCGCTTACAACAAGCCAGGGAGACAGATTGTTTTTCCAGAGTTAGGACTCGATGGGCTACATACACCCTAAGAATAAACCAACTATATATGCAGTGCAGCTCAGCTTCTAGTCATCAGAAGACTAAGAAAAATCTCAATCCCTGAAATTGGATTAGGACACAGCAAGCAAAGAAAAATAGATGACAGAGTTGGAAAGCAAGAAATAAAATAGCCATTCCTCATTGAAAGATGATGTACATGGCAAATCCCAAAGCATCTACAGAGGAAGTATTTTGATGTAATTAGAATTCATAATCAAGTTTAGCAAGGCTTTTGACTTGCGCCAGCAAACTTTGCCTATAAAGAGTCAGACAGTAAATATTTTAGATTTTTCAGACTCAGAGGCAAAATTAATGATACTATGTAGTACCTATATGAGAGGCAATAAATTTCCACAAATATTTTATTAATTAAAGTATTTTATATAAAAGACGTTTACTAATGAAAAGAAAGGAATTTTTTTCTGGAGGATAACATTTCACTCAACTGAGGTTCAAAGTTAGTGTTCTGTATCATCAAACCCATCATGTTATACAGATGTAAATAACATTCTTAGCTTGCAAGCCTATGAGAACAGTCAGCAGGTAGAATTCAGTGGACTATGGATTGCTGAATTCTGTATTAGATATAAGGTCAACATATAAAAGTCAGTTGATTTTTTTATATAATAAAAACAGTTAAAAATGAAAAATTTTAAAGTAATATTTATAACAGCCTGAAAAATACCAAATACCTAGAAACAAATTGAAGAAAATATGAGCAACACTTCTATGCAGAGAACAAATATTACTGAGAGAAATTAAACATCTAAATAAATAGCTAAATATAAAAATATACCATGTCCATAGATAGGAAGACTCAATATGGTAAAAATGCCCATTCTCCCCAAACTGATCTATAGATTCAAGGCAATGCCAATCAAAATCCCAACAGGTTTCTGTTTGTTTGTTTGTTTGGTGTAGAACTTAACAAACTTATTCTAACATGTATATGGAAATTCAAAAAGGCCAAGAATAGCCAAAACATCCTTGCAAAGGAACAAGAGAAGACTTAGATTGAAACACACTGACTTATGATAAAACTATAGTAATCAAGAATGTGAGACTGGAGCAAATATATACAAATAAGTCAAAAGAGCAGAATACAATGTATAGAAATAGACTATATGTATAACTGAATACTTAATTTATGATATTCATGGCACTAGAGAGCAATGGGGGAAAAAAGAAATTATAAATGGTGTAGGAAAACTGGCTATGCATATATAAAAATAATATACAACCTCTACTCTCCATTATATGCAAACCTGATTACAGACCTGGATAAACAAAAAAGGTCTTAGAAGATAGTATTAAAAAAGTGACATATTTGAGTTAGGAATTCATTAAAAAAAGAGAGAGAGAGAGGGAGAGAAAGAAAAACACTAACATAAAGGAAAAGATTGATAGATTATACTCAAATTAAGAATTTCTGTTTGTCAAAATGTACTATGAAAAGAGTAAAAGGGAAGCCAAAGAGTGAAAGATATTTGCAATATATATAACCAACAGTCTCATCTCCAGAATATACAAAGAACTTTTACAAATCAATAAGAAAATGGGTAAACAAAAATAAGATGAAGTGGAATTAGAATTAATAACTGAACTCTGCAAAGTTGTAGGATTCAAAATTAATACACAGAAATCTGTTGCCTTCCTATATACTGACAACAAACTAGCAGAAAGCAGAATCAGGAAAACAATGCCATTTACAATTGCAACAAAAAGAATAAAATACCTAGGAATAAACCTAACCAAGGAGGTGAAAGACCTACACCCTGAAAACTACAAGATACTCATGAGAGAAATTAAAGGAGACACCAATAAATGAAAATCTATCCTATGCTCATGGACAGGAAGAATTAATATTGTCAAAATGGCCATCCTGCCCAAAGCAATTCACAGAGTCAATGCAATTCCTATCAAATTTGCAAATACTATCAAAATACCAACAGAATTCTTCAATGAACTAGTTGTTCAACAAATAGTTCTAAAATTCAGATGGAACCACAAAAGACCCCAATAGCCAAAGAAATCCTGCAAAGGAAGAACAAAGCAGGGGGGTTTATGCTCCCTGACTTCAATCTCTACCACAATGCCACAGTATCAAAACAGTAATGGCACAAGAACAGGCCCCTAGATCAATGGAACAGAATAGAGAGCCCAGAAATAAACCCATGCACAGTTGGTCAATTAATACAAGATAAAGGAGCCATGAATTTACAATGGGTAAAAGACAGACTCTTTAACAACCAGTGTTGGGAAACTGAACAGTTACATGTAAGAGAATGAAACTGGATTATTGTCTAACTCCATACACAAAAGTAAACTTAAAATGGATCAAAGACCTAAATGTAAGTTTTGAAACCATAAAACTCTTAGAAGAAGACATAGGTAAAAATCTCTTGAACATAAGTATGAGTAACTTTTTTCTGGACACATCTCCCTGAGTAAGGGAAACAAAATCAAACATGAACATGTGGGATTACATGAAACTAAAAAGCTTCTGTACAGCAAAGGACACCATCAGCAGAACAAAAAGGCACCCAACAGTATGGGAGAATATATTTGTGAATGACTCATCTTAATTGTCATAAATCAAGAAAATTCTTTATATATTTTGGTTAACATCCAAAATACATAAAGAATTCATACTGCTCAATACCCCAAAAATAAATAATCCAATTAAAAAATGGGTGGAGGACCTGAAGGGCATTTCTCCAAAGAAGAAATACAAATGGCCAACAGGCACATAAAAAGATGCTTCACATAGCTAATTACCAGCAAAATGCAAATCAAAACCACAATGAGATATCACCTCACACCATTTAGAATGTCCACTATCCAAAAGACAAGAAGTAACAAATGTTAGCGAGGATACAGAGAAATGCAAACCCTCCTACACTGTTGGTGGGAATGTAAATTGGTACAATCGCTGTGGAAAGCAGTATGGAGGTTCCTCAAAAAACTGAAAATAGAAATACCATTTGATCCAGTAATCCCACTTTAGGAATTTACCTGACCAAACAAAATCCCTGATTCAAAAAGACATATGCACCCCTATGTGTATTTGCCTCACTATCTGCAATAGCCAAGCTACAGAAACAATCTAAGTGTTCATCAATAGATGAATGGATAAAGAAGATGTACATGTACAAAATGGAATAATAGCCATAAAAAGAAATTCTGCCATTTGCAAGAACCTGGATGGATCTAGAGGGTATTTATTATGTTCTGTGAAATAAGCAAGGCAGAGAAAAACAAATACCATATGATTTCACTTATTTGTGGAGTATAAAAACAAAGTAAAACTGAAGGGACAAAACAGCAGTAGACTCATAGACACTGAGAAGGGACTAGTGGTTCCCAAGGGGGAGGGGTTCAGGTAGGGGGAGGGGAGGGGGATAAAGGAGCACAATAATTTGCAATCACAATATAAATTTGTCATAGGAGGTAGTACAGCATGGAGAATATAGTCAATGTTCTGTAACATCTTTCTACATTGAGAGACAGTAACCGCACTAGAGAGGGTGAGGATTTACTAACATGGGTAACTGTTGAACCACTGTATTGTACATTTGAAACCAACATAAGATTATATATAAGGATACTTCAATTTAAAAAAATGTAGAAAATGGACAGACCATACAAACATGTGACTGGGAAACAGAAATTGACAGTAAATGTATGAAAAGGTGCTCATTACTAATCAAAGAAAAGCAAAATAAAACCCCAATAAGATACCACTAGATACCCACCAGAAAGACTAAACTAAGAAACTGGCAATAGCTAATGTTAGCAAGAATGCATAGCACAAGGCACACTCATCCATTGTTGATGCGAATGCAAACTGATACAACCATTAAACAAAAATTATTATAGTTGAAGAGATGCATAATCTATTGTTCAACAATTTCACTTGAAGGTATTTACACAATAGAAATCCATGTACAACTGTATCAGGTAAAATGTTTAAGAATATTGCTTTCTTTTATATAGCTTTAAAATTTTTGAAACAATCACAATCATATAGAAAAGTTGTAAGTACAATTCAAAAAGCTATTCTTCTAGAACCATTTATAAGTTGCCAACCTGATAACTCATCAACCCAGAATACTTTACTGCATACTTTCTATAAACTAGAACATTCTCCCATATAACAATTTAAAGAAGTTAGTGTTGATACACTCCTACTATTTCATCTTCAGATCCCATTTAAGTTTCATAGAATGTCCTAATAATGGTCTTTTGAGCAAAATACAACTTGGCATTAATGCATTTGTTGTCATGTCTCTTTAGTCTCCAGTCTGAAAGAGTTCCTCAAGTTATGTCTTGGTTTTCATGACCTTAACTGTTTTTGAAGATTACAGGCCAGTTATTTTGTAGAATGTGCTTCAATCTGAGTTGCAGGATTTGCTTCCAAGCTCACTCACGTGGTAATATATTAGCCGACTCC